TATTTCTGGGTTTTGTTGTTTGATGATGATGATGATAATGGTGAAGAATTGATTGATAAAGGAGGCAAGGCAAGGAAGAATAAGGAGAAAGGATGCTTGCTAGGTTTCAATTGAACCTAGGCACTGGGTTCCTTTGAACCTAGCATGCTTGGGTTCTTCGACAAAAAAATATAAATTTTTTTTTTGTGGGTTTTGTTGTTTGATGATAATGAAGAATTGATTGATAAAGAAGGCAAGGAAAGGAAGAGGAAGGAGAAAGGGAAAGAAGAAGAAAAAAGAGAATTTTTAAAATTTTTATTGCCAAATCATTACTTTTTTGCCATGTTATCTTTCCACGTGGATTTAGTATTTTGACATATCATTATGCTTTTGTTAGTTAATAGGACACGTAGGTAGATTTTTAACGGAAGGATTAAATTGGGGTAAAATGATAAATAATAGGGACTAAATCAAAGATTTTTTTTATTCAGAGGTCCGTTCAATAGTTTAGGGATCAAAATGAGGTTTTAACGTTTTAAATTAAATTAAAAAATTTAGAAATAATTTTATTTCAATCCCATGGAATTTGTATTACCTCTGTAGCTCTTCCTTTAAAAAAAAAAAAAAACCTAGTGTAAGAAAGCTAGGGCCGCCATTCCCTCCCTCCTCTTTCTTTCTCTTGTACTGAATATTTTAGAAGTTTCATTATGTATTTTTTTAGAATTTTAGCGAGATTTATTGAGAAATTTATTAAAAATTTTAAAAGGTTTATTAGATATTTATTGAAAAATTTATTAAGGTTTTAAACTATTTTTCTAATATAATATATAGAATATAATATGAAAAATATATATGAAAAAATTATTATGAAAAATATAATTCAAAATAGTTGAAGTGAATTTGCAGTAACATTGTAGTATTAAAAAAGATTATTATTAAAATATAAAAATAAATATTTTTTATCCGAATTAATGATTGATGGTAATGACTATGGTAATGCAAAAGAAAGATTGAGCTCTATAAAATTGTTATTGTTATATTAATTAATTCTGTTTATTGAAAACAATAATACAATGGATTCAAAAAGCCCATATTTACTTTTAAAATATTTTTTTTATGCTTTGTGCATGGGGTGATGTTATTGTCATACCTTTAATTACTAATGTCACACATTTTTATCTTAATTGATAATTATACCATTTAATTTATTAAGAAACAAAAAAATGTAAATTTTTAAGAAAGAATGTAATGTAAGGATATAATAGATAACTATATTAAAAATGTGTGGTATTAATCATTTAAGATATGACAATAACCCTAACTTTGTGCGTGGCTCCTCAGCTCCCAAGATTAGTATACTATTTGAATTGGACTGTGAGATCATTTATACTTTGGTATTTATTTAAGATTTTTAAAATTTTATTAGGTATTAATTTTTAATTTAGTAAAGATTTTAAAATGTATATTGGGTATTTATAATGGAGTTCGTATTAAAATAATTCAAGTAACTAAAATTAAATTAAAGTATAATTATATTAAAAGGAAAGATTATTATTGAAAATATAATTGAATTTTAATTTTTAAAATCTATATTTATATACCATTTATTACATATCTTAAAAAGTTGATTAGATATTTATTCAGAATTTATTAATGATTTATTGAAGATTTTTTAATGAATTTTTTTGAAAGTTTTAAAAAGTTTGTTAGACATATTTGCTCAGAATTTATTAAAGACTTTATCTAATTTTATAATATAGTAAGAAATAAGATTTCAATTATAACAATTTATTTTTAAAATGAAATAAATTCTATTTTAATTTTAATCAAAAATTTAAAATATGATAAATAAATGTACCTATTAAATTATTTAAAAATAAAGTAAATATGTTTTCATATATATATATATATACCACACACTTTAACAAAGCAATATTCTTAGTCT